AATAAAGTAGCATTTCCAGTCACATCCCTGTGTCAGGAAGACTGCGAGGGCCTGAGCTGGAAGGGGGGCAGAATACATAGACAAATTAGACATTGTCTTTAGACTCAAAAGTATTGTCTTTAATTGGGAAAAGCATAAAGTAAAAACAACAAACAAGACAGTGTATGCCAAATAAGTGGAGTAGACATGAAAATATGCAGGTATGATGAAGTAGATTTCTTGAAAACGAAGACCTGGTTCATGTATTACATGTATAACTAGACAACTGTGTTTCCCAACCATATAAGGCACTTCATCTTTGTAGGCCATAATTTTCTCATTTCTAAATTGAAAATGTTGAACTAGATTAGAATGTCTCATCCAATTCTGAAATTCAATGAAATTCAGAAGAGGGACATCATATGCTGGGATGATGTGGGCATGGATGATTATCTAAGTGCCCATGAAACATGAGATACCATTGAAAGGCTAAGTGGATATTGTTAGATAGGATACAAAAGAGGGACAAAGCATGAGCAAAAGCCAAGTGTTACTGTGTTTTGTTCAGTTTTGTGTCCATAGCGTTATTCATAGTACCTGAAACACAACAGAAAATGTCTAATACTTACTGAATGAATTAATTGGGTGGTGTGACACCTAACGGGGGGGGGGGGGAGAGTGACATCTAAAAGATCACATTCTGTATTTGTTTAATGAAGTTAATCACTGAAAGAAAAATTTGTGCAGAAACTTTCTTTAGTGACTTGTAATGGATGAAAGTGAACATTTTCCATCTCTATCCCAAATTTGTATAATTTGAATGTCAAGACCTTGTTTCAAAATTCCCAAGGTCATATATTTAGCAAATGGCAAAATTCTAAGTCAGCGTATGCAATTCCTTCATCTCTGTCAGTTTCCATCCAGAGTGAATTTCCTAATCTGTTTCTTAATTGTCCGGTGACATGCACTTCATGTTCCCCATTCTCTGCTGTGTTCCTAACTTGGGTTCTGCATTCCAGTGCAGTTTTCTAGCTATTCAGTTTTCAGAACAAATTCTCACCTGCCTGATACATGGACCATCTAATGAACTGCTTCCCATGCCCACGGGTTGTTTGTTTTGTTTTGTTTTTGTTTTTTTCCCATTCCTGTGCCACTTTTAAAACTTTGATGCCCCTTGCAAATTCTTTTCTCTGAGGCTGCCTTGGGGGTGCTTTTGACCAGTGACCTCCAGGATGAATTTTGGATACTGGAAAAAGGGGCACATTGTTTTGATTTCCCCTGAGCCTGCTACAGTTGTAATGTTCAAAACACAAGTGCCGGGAGAAGACATCTTTGCTTGCATATCAGTTCTTGGCAACAGATAAATTGTTTCTCTATAGTTTTCTCTTTGAATTTTATGTTGGATCAGTTTTTAACTTGGAGACCATTCTCTTTTGAGTAATACTTTTTCAATGTGTCACACCTTGAGATTTATTATACCAATACATCATCAGAGTGACAGCTGGCCCTGATGATGTATAGCTTAATACATCATGAAAGCAATTTCTCATTCAGGTTACATATTACATAGGAATGTTAGTGCTTGTATTTTAAAAAAATATAAATTTATGGTCTTACAACAAATAAACTTTCTAAGAGTTTGTAAAACTCTTGTACCTGTCCCAAATCTAACTGGGCAATAAAATTAGCACTGGATCTCACAAATACTGAGTGCCAACCCTTCTCTGTATAGGGACAGATACCTTCTTTATAAATGATTATTTTCTCAATAGGAAATATGTGAACTTGATAAAAAACTTTTTAAATACAAAGGATATACAATGAAGACTATCTCTTCTTTCTGTCTATATCTGGAAGCTATCTAGTACCCTTCCCAAGAGCAAAAAACTTACCAAATCTTTAAGAGATTAATATAAGAATATACTGACACCCATGTGTATATGTGTGTGTGTGTGTGTGTGTGTATAATTCCCTTCATATGCAGTCAGCAACATATTCTTCATTTTTCCCAGTAACCAGTATAAATCAGAAATAGCTTCATGTATTTACAAATAGACTTTTATTCTTTTTTGTGAGAGCATACATCATCCTATCATTCTCCCATATTCTATTTTATTTTTTTTATTTTAAAATTTTTTATGTTTATTTATCTTTGAGAGAGAGAGAGTGCGCAAGCATGTGCAGAAGTGGGGTAGGGGCAGAGAGAGAGAGAGAGAGAGAGAGAGAGAGACAGAATCCGAAGCAGGTTCCAGGTTCTGAGCTCATCAGCACAGAGCCTGACGTTGGGCTTTAACACATGAACCACAAGATCATGACCTGAGCCGAAGTTGAATGCTTAACCAATTGAGCCACCCAGGCTCCCCTTATTCTCCCACAATCTAAAGAGATATTATTGCTTTTCTATAGAATAGCCACTTTTCCTTACCATGGACAGAGTACAAACTAGAATACAGTGGAAAAAAATGACTCAAAAGAAAATGGAGTTACTTTTAAGGTTTTCCTCATATATGATACAGAACTTTATTACTCTTTTTATGATAGCATACTATTCTACTGATTTATGATTTTGACTCCAGGAGAACTCATTTTCATTAATAAGGATTTAAAAAAAATTTTTAGTTTACATGAAAATTAAATTAAGTGAATCTTACCAAAAGTGATAAAAATAGTTTTTAAGAGATAAGCTAAAAGTGGGAAGAAAGAAGAGAAAGAAACCAGAGAAACTGCAGTGTGATTAAGAACATAATACATTTTAAAAATAAATGGCAACTCTTAATAGAAGTGTCCCAATTGTTACATTCCATTCATCACCTTCTTTATTTTTACTTATTAACTTCCCTGTAAAATTTAGCTTTAGTTTCTGTCATGGACAAATTAACTATTATAGGGAAAACCGATTTTTTTATAGTCTCTCAAATAAGGAAAGGTAATGAAGAATATGAGGAATTCTAAGATGGAAAGTATCAGTCTTTAATCCATGTTGTGAAAGCAGTTACTATTGAAGGCCATATATAGAGTAGCTTGAAAAGAATAAGTCTCTCCTCAAAATCAGGTTTTAAAAAAACCCTGTGGCTATTATGATGATGATGATAAGCAAGTTAGCTCTTCCCCGTCAGTCAGGCATTTAGTTTTTGCCTTGCCACCTCCATGATTTATTCTGTATTATCTATTATGAATGCATCAGTTTCTTCCTCTAGTATTTGCCAAGTCACTTCTTTTAATACTTAGCTGTAAATATAAGTCCACAAAAGACAGAAATTTTGAAACTGTGTAAGAGATTAGTAATTTTTTGGCAAAAATACCCAGATTTTATTTTCTCCTTTCTCCTTCCTTTGACCTCCTTGGCTTATCCAACTTATGAATGCGAGAGTATATAGATATTTAACCAGAGAATTTTTAAAAATCTCCTCTTAAGAGAAGAACTCTCAAGAACTGCTGCAGGACAAGTTTACATGGTGTGTGTACACATGGGTGTGTGGGCACACATGCACTTACTTCCAACCTTCAATTCTCTTTTTTCCTTCCTACTCTTCTGCAAAAGATATATTTCTGAGTAAAAAAAAAAAAGAAAAAAAAAAGAAAAGAAAAGAAAGAAAAAGAAATATTGGAAAGACGTTAGAAGAATTTAGTTTGGAGAGGATGGGAGAGAAAGCATTTCATCTCAAAGTAGAGAAAGTCATTCTTGAGAGTAGAAGGTGTTAAGAAACAGGCTTTCAGAGAGAGAGAGGAGATGATGGAGGGGCTTGGGGAGAGTAAAGGAGAGGAAGAGAGATGGGAGAACCATGTCAGAAACAGCGTTGACTGCCAATTTGAATGGACTGGACATTCTGTAGTCCTTACTTCTTAAGTAGACTTTTAAAAAGTTTATTTTATTTTATTTATTTATTTTTTTAATGTTTTTATTTATTTCTAGGAGAGAGAGAGACACACACAGTGTGAGCAGGGGAGGGTCAGAGAGAGAGGGAGTCACAGACTGAAACAGGCTCCAGGCTCTGAGCTGGCAGTCAGCACAGAGCCCGACGCGGGGCTCGAACCCACGAACCGAGAGATCATGAGCTAAGCGAAAGTCGGACGCTTAACCGACTAAGCCACCCAGGCGCCCCTAAAAACTTTATTTTAACAGACAGTGCTTTCAGAGTAGGGTCCAGTTGAGTGATTATTCTGGCGATAAGATGGAATAATTAAAAGCAGTTATTAAGGCCCTGCCACACAGTGCTACTTTTGGAAGTAAATAACTTTTGTAAATGACATGTTTAATTGCTGCTTTAAGAAGCTAAAATCCACTCCTTCCCAATGTAATCCGGTAATCCTCAAAAATAGAATGTGTGACACCTTAGTGATCTTTGTTTTCTATGTCTGCTGATTTTGCAACGTCAAACAGTTCATAGTCAAGCTGGAACTGTAGAACAGAATGATTGATAAATTAAGTCAGGTTCTGGTGTTTAAACTCTAACACCAACACTTAACAGCTTGGGACAATTATCTAATCCTTACCCTGATCCTTACTTTATTTTTTAAAGGATTAAGTAAAGTATTATAAAAGTTTAATAAATCAGATATTAAAATTAGGGGCACTTGGGTGATTCAGTCAGTAAAGTGTCTGACTCTTAGTTTTGGCTCAGGTCATGACCTCACAGTTGAGGAGTTCAAGCCCTGCATAGGGCTCTGCACTGATGGTGTGGAGCCTTCTTGGGATACACTCTCTCCCTCTCTCTGCCACTCCCCTGCTTCCCCCCCCTCAAAAAAATAAATAACATTAAAGAAATTAAAGTTAATTTGTTAATCAGTCTTAAAGCCATCTTTTTATTTTGGTGATCCATAGTTGGCAAAGCAAGACGATGCCAATGGGATAGGACAACTTATTTTGAGTCGACTTGATAAAGTTTTAGGCAGCACCATTTTACTAGGAAAATAAAGTGCTTATATTCTGCAGACTCTGAAAAATATTTTTTGTTTAATGTACTCGGCTACATTGTTGCTGTTTATGTACCAGGGTTCATCAATAAAAATTGGACCACACAGTGCTCACTTCTGCAGCAAATATACTAAAACTGGAATGATAAAGATTAGATTAGCATAGCCCCTGCCTAAGAATGACACTTCAATTCCTGGATCATTCCATATTAAAAAAAGTGGACTATACAAATTGACTTAGTTTTCATTTAATTAACTGGATCACTCACCAGTTTGGCTTTATTGATGTTTATCCAAAGAGAGAGAGAGAAGAGATATAGCTAAGACTCTGAAATCTCTTTCTTGGTAATCTATGAACATTAAATGTAATAATGTTAGTGACAATAATGGCAAACTTTGAATGAGTCATTACTATTTATTTGACATACACATTTTTCAGTGCTTTATGCATGTTATTTAATTGTCCCAACAAGTCTGTAAGGAGAGTACTAGTGTCCATATTTTTACATAAGAACAAGAGACATTAATGCCTCATCCAAAGTTATGTAGGTAGTCCATGACATGGTCAGGAATCATAATGACACAATCTTTCACATGAGGTCTAGCAATTAATCAAGCTTTTATACATACCATCTCAGTGGGTATCAGACAGGTCAGTTTTACAATAGGATCTATTTTGAAGTTATTATGGGATACTATATTCAATATTGTTTATGATTTTCTCAACTTTTCCAAACAGTAAGATGTTTGAAAGATTATTATACCAAAATATTTACAGTATTCTGAATGCTTTTCTAAGATATATTTGCTTGAATTATATTAATATTTTTGCTGGCTAAAAGAAAAAAAATGAACTTTTCAGTGACTCATCATTTCTGTTTCAATTAGGTTCTTGTCTAAGGAAAAATAAATAGAATGAGCAAGGGAGAACCGTTTTCATTTCTGCAATTGCTATCAATTCTCAATATGTTTGAAATGTCACTGCACACTGCTTACCAACCTGTTGGTACCAAGTGAAGTCAGAATTATTAATGAGAGACCTTTGCCAACAAATGCTAGGGATAGTGAACAAAACCCTCTGTAAGTACAAATGAATATGCATTTGCTGGAATCGCATATGAAATGACAAAAGTCCTACAATGCTGTTGGGAAAGACAAAAATAATGAAGACAGTGGAAAATAATGTTCTGGTCAATTATTTTCTATCTGAAGGATAGAATTCTGGGAAAGGAGAGAAAAGATGGAAATTAAATGGGGTGAGAAAACCAAGAGATTGAGGGAAAGGACAATTCAACATTAGAAGAGACAGTGTGGGAAGATATAAAGGAATAGAAATGAACTCAAGGAAAAGAATTGGGAAAGTAAGGAAAACTAAATATAGAAAAGAGTATAAAGAATTCCATATTCTTAGCTTTATTATTATTAATTATTATTATTATTTTCTGAGAGAGAGACAACGTGAGCAGGGGAGGGGCAGAAAGAGAGGGAGATACAGAAACCAGAACAGGCTCCAGGCTCTGAGCTGTCAGTACAGAGCCTGACGCGGGATTCGAGCCTACAAACTGTGAGATCATGACCTGAGCCAAAGTCAGACGCTCAACCGACTGGGCCACCCAGGTGCCCCATCCATATTCTTAGTTTTTTCCTCATCTTATTTGAACAAACCTTCCCAGCATCATGTTACAACATGTTTTCTTTTCTACACTTTGTAATGTTTGCCATTTGGATTTCACCAGGAAATGTTTTCAGATCCTTTTTTTAATTATTTTTAAAACCTTTTTAATTTTTCATCATGGTAAGTGTACTCTTTTATCCCCATGACCAATTTCACCCATCCCTCTACCTACCTCCCCTCTGCTAACCATTGGTTTGATCTTTATAGTTAAAAGTCTGTTTTTTATTTGTCTCTCACTTTCTCTTTTTCTTTTTTCCTTTGCTCATCTGTTTTGCTTCTTAAATTCTGCATATAAGTGAGATCATATGAAATTTGTTCTTCTCTGACTGACTTATTTAGTCTAGCATTATGCTCTCTAGCTTTACCCATGTTGTTGCAAATGGCAGGATTTTATTCTTTTTTATGGTTACACAATAGTCCATTGTTTACATGTACTACATGTTCTTTATCCATTCATCTATCAGTAGACACTTGGGATACTTCCTTAGTTTGGCTATTGTAAATAATACTGCAGTAAATATAAGGGTGCATGTAATTTCCTGAATTAGTGTTTTTGTGCTTCTCGAGTAAATACCTAGTAGTCAAATGAATGGATTGTAGGCTCTATTTTTAACTTCTGAGGAATCTCCATATTGTTTCCCACAATGGCTGCACCAGTTTGCATTCTCACCAACAGTGCAAAAGGGTTCCATTTTTTTCTATCTCCTTGCCAGCTCTTATTTCTTATGATTTTGATTTTAAGTACTCTTTACAGGTGTGATGTGATATCTCATTGTAGTTTTGATTTGCTTTTTCCCTATGATGGGTGGTGTTGAGCATCTTTTCATGTGTTTGTTGGCCATCTGTATGTCTTCTTTGGAGAAATGTTTATTCATGTCTTCTGCCTATTCATTAACTGGATTTTTTTTTTGTTTTATGAGGGTGTTGAGTTCCTTATATATTTTGGATACTAACCCTTTATTGGATATATCATTTGCAAATACCTTCTTCCATTCCATAGATTGCCTTTTAGTCTTACTGATTATTTCTTTCACTGTGCGAAAGCTTTGTATTTTGATGCAGTCCCAATAGTTCATTTTTGCTTTTATTTCCCTTGCCTCTCTAGACCTATCTAGAAAAATGTTGCTATGGCTGATGTCAGAGCAATTACTGCCTGGTCTCCCTTCAAGGATTTTTATGGTTTCAGGTCTCAGGCTTAGGTCTTTAATCCATTTTTAATTTATTTTTGTGTATGGTAAAAGAATGTGGTCCATTTTCATTATTTTTCATCTAGCTGTCCAGTTTTCCCAACACGATTTGTTAAAGAGACTATTTTATTCCCATGGCATATTCTTTCCTGCTTTGTCAAAGATTAATTAGCCATATAATTGTGGGTTTATTTCTGAGTTTTCTGTTCTATTCCATTGATCTCTGTGTCTATTTTTATGCCAATATCATACTGTTTTAATTATTACCATTTGGTAATAAAACTTAAAATCTGGAATTGTGATACCTCCAATTTTGTTTTTCAAGATTGTTTTAGTCATTTTGAGGCTTTTTGTGGTTCCATACAAGTTTTAAAATTGTTCTAGTTCTGTGTAACAAAATGCTGTTGCTAGTTTGATAAGGGTTGCATTCTAACATACAGATTGCTTTGGGTAGTAAAGACATTTTAATGATATTTGTTCTTCCAGCCCATGAGCATTGAATGTCTTTCCATTTCTTTGCATCATTTTAAATTTCTTTCATCAGTATTTTATATTTATTGGGGTATAGATCTTTCACCACTTTGAGTAGGTTTATTCCTTGACATCTTATTGTTTTTGGTGCAGTTGTAAATGGGATTGTTTTCTTAATTTTACTTTCTGCTGCTTCATTATTAGTATATAGGAATGCAACAGATTTCTGTACATTGCTTTTGTATCCTCTGACTACTGAATTCACTACCAGTTCTGGTAGTTTATTTATTGATGGTGTTTTGGTTTTTTATATATAGTATCATGTCATCTGAAAATAGTGAGAGTGTTACTTCGTCCTTACTAGTTTGGATGTCTTTTATTTCTGTATGTTGTTTAATTACTGTGTCTAGGGCTTCTGGTACTATGTGGAATAAAATTGCTAACAGTGGACCTCCCTATCTGGTTCCTGACCTTAGGGGGAAAGCTCTCAGTTTTTCCCCACTGGGTATGATATTAGCAGTGGGTTTTTCATATATGGCCTTTGTCACATTGAGGTCTGTTCCCTCTAGATATATTTGCTGAAGTTTTTTATCATGAATGGAGTTGTACTTTATCAAATGTTTCATCTGCATCTACTGAAATGATCATATAATTTGATAATACTTTGTTGAGGATTTTAAAATCTATGTTGGCTTATAGTTCTCTTTTTTCTTGTGTTTTTATCAGGTTTTGGTATCAGAGTGATGTTGGTTTCATTGAGTGAATTTAAAAGTTTTTGTTCTCTTCTATTTTTTGGAATGATTTGAGAAGAATTAGTAAATTATCTTTAAATGTTTGGTAGAATTTACCTATGAAGCCATTTCGTCCTGTACTTTTGTTTTTTTGGAAGTTTTTTGATTACTGATTCAATTTCATTGCTAGTAATTGGTCTGTTCAAGTTTTCTATTTCTTGCTGCTTTAGTTTTGGTAGGTTATAGGTTTCTAGGAATTTCTAGGAATCTCTTTTAAGTTGTCTAGTTTTTTAGCACATAGGTTTCCAAAATATTCTGTTACAATTGTTTCTTTTTCTGTGGTGTTGGTTGTTATTTCTCTTCTTTCATTTGTGATTTTGTTTATTTGGGACCTCTCTCTCTTTTCTGATGAGTCTGGCTTGAGGTTTATCAGTTTTGTTCATCTTTCAAAGAACAAGTTTCTGATGTCGTTTATATTTTTATTTATTTTTATTTTTTAGTTTCTATATAATTTATTCCTCTGCTCTAATCTTATTATTTCCTATCTTTTATAGGTCTTGGGTTTTGTTCTTTTTCTAGCTACTTTAGGTGTAAGGTTAGGTTGTTTATTTGAAAATTTTCTTGCTTCTTAAGGTAGGCTGTATTACTCTAAATTTCTCTCTTAGAACCACTTATGCTGCATCCCAAAGATTTTCACTTTCATTTGATTCTATATAATTATTGATTTCTTCTTTGATTTCTTGTTTGACCCAAGAAATTACTGTTTAGTAGCATGTTATTTAAACTCCATGATTTGTGCTCATTCCATATTTTTCTTGTGGATGATTTGTACTTTCATAGCATTATGATCAGAAAGGATACACAGTATGACTTTAATGTTGAGACTTGTTTTGTGCCCTAATACATGATATATTCTGGAAAATGTTCCATTTGCATTTGAAAAGAATGTGTATTTTGCTTTCTTAGGGTAAAATATTCTGAAGATGTCTGTCAAATCCATCTGGTTTACTGTGTCATTTAAGACCACTGTTTCCTTGTTGATTTTCTGTTTGGATGATGTCCCTGTTCATGTAAGTGGGGTGTTTAAGTCCCTATTATTATTTTATTAGTCTCAATTATTTCCTGTATATTTGCTAATAGTGTGTTAATA